GCAGAGGACAAAGTTAAAAAGACAGACAGAGGGAGGAGAGTGTGTGAGGCCAATTGCCAGGGTCTGTCTGGGGTCTGGTACCCGAGCGCTGGGGAAGCCCGTCCAGCGGGCAGTCCGCCCTTCCCTGCCATTTCCCGGGCTTATAGTGAGCCCCGCGGGAGGCTGCGACCTCACAGCCTCCACTCATTCACTGGGCTTAGGAAGCCTCTGGACTCACTCGTGGTGCCCTCTGCCCATCAGCTCTACGGGAGAGGGGCGGGAACCCCTGGCACACTCAAGTGAGTTGGGAGAAAGGGGCCGAGGGAATGTGAGACACCCCAGAGGAGCTTCAGGGCTCTGCAGATGAGCTCTCCCAGCACATGGTTTCCCTGCCGGCAGCCACCCCGCACTGGAAGAGGAAAATCTACTGTGATGAAAACCTGGGTTGTTTTGGACATGAAGAAAGATTCAGAAGGCTGGCGGGAGATGAAGGTCCAATCCTCTGTTTTCATAGATGAGCAGCCAGCAAGCCAAAAACTGTCCTGTTGCAAGGAGTGTGTTACCTTTCTGACTGTCCCCTGCCTGCGCCCATTCTCTCGCCCTGAGCCCACCAGCCCACTGAGCTGCAAAAGGGGAAGGGGACGCATTGCTAATCTAAGTCAGGCTCCGCATGAGGCTCTAGAACCCTGCCCGCCAGAGCTAGCATCGGCATCTTCACTTGTGGGTGAGGCACCTGTGACTAGAAGGCTGTTCAGTGTGCCCAAGGTCAGAAGAAAGAGGGGCAGTTGGGCTCCCAGACACTTATGTGTGGGTGTTCCCCGTCTTCTCAGCAGGGTCCCCCGGTGCTCGGGTAGATGAGCCTGAGTTCCTCAGCCCAAAACTTGGCCATAGGTTTATGAATGATTTTGCAGGGATTTTTTTTTAAATATTAGCAAGAATTCCTTAAGGCAGACACTCTATGTTACTACTATTAGTGTAAAGTGATTTATATTTTGGGATGAAGAAAATTTACATATATTTATCAAGAGTTAAAAATTATTAATCCATAGAGATTTCTTTCCTCTTGACTACTCTGCCCCTTCTCTCTCCACATTTGGCAAGGATCTTGAACAAGAAGCAAGGCAGTGTATCAGCCAGGGTCCTCCAGAGAAATAGAACCAATGGGAGAGATAGAGACACAGAGAGATCTAGAGATATGGATGGATGGATGGATTGAAAAAGATACAGAGGGTCTAAGGAATTGGTTCACATACTTGTGAGTGTTGGCAGGTCTGGAATCCATAGAGCAGATCAGCAGGTGAGAAATGCAGGAAGAATTTCTGTGTTAAACTCCTGAGGCTGAGTTCCTTCTCTCTGTCTGTCTCTCTGTATTTTTATTCTGTATTTATTTTATATTTTTCCATATTTTAATCAATGCATTATAATTATGAATAATGGTGGGCTTCGTTGTTTCATACATGTGTGTGCAGATGATATAACATTATACTTTTTTCCATGAAAGCTCAGTATTTGTCTTATTCCTTTAGCTAACTGACAGCCTTATCAAGGGTAATCTTTCCTTAAAGTAGTTGTAGATGTTCTTTGCACCTACAAAGTATCTTCCCTGTGACATCTAGGCTAATGTTTGGCTAACACCAGACACAGTGCCCTAGTCCAGTGGACATATAAAACGAACCATCGTAAGCAGCAGTTGTGAGTTCTGTGCTCTGTTCGGGCTGGGCTTGGCCCCAGGCACTGCCACATACACTCTGCTATTCCTCATCAACATGCTCTACACGTGCACAAACTCTGGGACCCAGATTGGTTACAGTGACTTGCCCAGGAGGCCATCTCTGATAGAGTCAAACCTGGCTTCCAGGATTTTCTGATTACCACTCCACAAGACTGCCTTCCAAAAGCTTCAGTGTGAAGAATTTAGATTCAGCAATAGAAGATAGAAGTGTCACTCAGCTTATCAGGACTGGACCTGGAACGCAGGACTCCTGGCTCCCAAGCCCGCCTTCTTGCACACCATAGCGCCCCCTGGCTTCCAGAAAATTCACAGTCCCTGCAGACTAAGGCTGGCAGCACATTGTTCACCCCAGGCCAGCAGGTCCCAGCCGAGGCAGGATGTTCCAACTGTGCATGCTGCAGAGGGACCCCAGCTGTCGTTACCTCCTCAATAAACAGATGTGCTCAGAGTCTGGGCCCTGCAGCCACTTTATTGCTGAGACAGCCTCATAATGAGATACTTTCAGGGCGTCAATATCGAAACCTCCTTGAATGGAGCCTGAAATGGACCTATCTGGTGACAAATCCATCTTTGTGGCAGTTTGCATTTCAGGGAGATTAAAGGGAATTTGCAGAAAGTCCTCCAGAATCTGATGCTGTCCATGCAGAGGGAAATAAGGCTGGTGAGGGCTCCATCTGTAAGGCCTGCTGCTCTCCAGGTCTATTTACTCTGGATATTGCAGAATATCGATTAGGGTTGTTTCATTGCAAGGAACAGAAACCAATGCAAGGTAGTTTAATTAAAATAAAAAGAAGTTAAAGGAAAAGAAACAAAAAATTGGGTGGTACATCTCATGGAATCAAAGTAGGATTTGGAAAAACAATACAGAAGAATGAAATTAACCAGGGCAGTTCTAGGCCTCTGCAGATTAAGTTCCAAAGCCCTCAGTGCCCTGACAGAGCGCAAGTCGGCTGTAAAGTTTCCCAGTTTCTATTTCTGTGTATATTTCCAAGGGTGAGAACTAGACTCATTCAGCTTGTGTCATGTGTCTACCCCTAAACAGCCTGCCCTGGCCAGGGGTGCAGGGATCCAGGCAGAGCTCTGTGAGTTGTTCCTAAGTGTACTGGCCACAATAAAAGGGTCAATTATTTTTTTTAATCAGGACACTCCCAAAAATGGCTGCTGGAATAACTGTGTTTGTAATATTAATTATTTGAGGCTTATATGGGCAGAAGACCTGGTATTTAGAGATCTCTGTACCTATGGTATGCATGTGTGCATATATTTTTCCCTAATGAACCCCTTTATAATTCAGCCCTCTCAGTCTCCAACTCAATTTCCGTTGCATCATATCTTAAAATCACCAGCTGCAGATGCAATCTTGTGCCCCAATTTAGAGATACTTATCCTCAGGCTTTTAACATATTAAGTCATTTAGACAAGATGCAAACACCACCCCAGCTGAGGACAGCTGTTTGTTACCCTGTATCTCTAAGGACCAAGCACATAGTAGGTGCTCAGTATTTGCTAAATGAGTAGCAACCATCCACCAATATAGGGACACTTTCTTCCATGCCCTTAGGTCCCAGGGGCTTTGCCATCTTGACCCAAGAATATAATTTTTTTTGACTCATGTCCCATCCTTACCACCTGGACTCAGTAGGTAAGGTCCACATTTCCTAGGGAACAGGTAAAGGGCCACAGCTCTGCCATATGTAGTGTAAGTTGGATATAAAAGAGATGCTGCCTTGACCCTAGATGCCCCATCGTGGAGGAGGGAATCGTGAGTGTTTGAAAACTGACATCATTGTTCAGACAGACAAAGCAAGCCAGGACAGGCTGACTCACAACTCTGGCCCTCACACTGGCTAAGTATAGCTCACCCCCATTCTCTCTCACTGCCATCCTTACAGATCTCCTCTGAAATAGTAACACGAGGACTCTACATCACCTGGTGTAGAGTTGACTTCAGCATAAGAATAAAAAATGAACTAGAAATGACATTCCAAGGGTTCCAAATGAGCCTCCAGTTCATCTCTCCAGCTACCTCTTCTCCAAAGGGAGCTGGTAAGAACCTTAACCCAGAGTGGCTTCAGAAGACATTCTGACCTGGTCCACATTCCCCCTCATTGTTCCTTGACACCAAGCCTGGCCAGTGTCCTTCTTGGTCTGTGTTTCTGTTCTGTGCCACACTGAACTGGGGCAGCGTAATTACTGATAGTAGGACTAGTCTTTGCAGATCAGCCTTAGTCCCTGTTCATACAAAGGCTCAAAGTTTTGTTCAGTGGCGTGACCTTAGTAATACAGCAATAAGCTCTTATAGGCTACGGGGAGGGAGGGTGCTTCTTCCGGTATTTTTCAAAATGTCTTCGAGTACTTATTATTTCCCCAAGGGAGGCTGCTTGCGTTCTTCTGGTGATTAACACAGTGATAATGGCATTGAGACTCAGAAGTCAGTGGTCTGAGCAGGAAAGTGGAATGACGTACCACATTCGTAGCCAACAGAGATCATAAAGATCAAGGTAGGGAGTAATGACAGTCTCCATGCCTGCCCTGCACCTGGTGTGCCAAGCAGTGTCGTCACCTTGCTCACAGGACCTCCAGGAGGCAGACACTATTGCCACCATTCTGGAGGAACCCAAGGTAGGGAAAAGCTAAATGACTTGGCCAGGATGGCAAGACTCATTAAGTGGCATTACCAGGATTCAAATCCAGTCTGTGCTCACTCAAAGCATCATGCCGGGTGGCCCTCCCTGAGCTGCGGTTCCCTTTCCAAGGATGGCCACAGAGCTGGAGAAGAGCAGACAAATCCAGAGGTCAGGAGCATCTCCAGGGAGCAGAGCCGAAGGCTGGGTGTGAGACAGGAGCTAATGAGAGATTGCAGAACTCTTCCCCGGCACATGGCGGACCAGAGCTCTGACATGCCTGGCTGGGTGCTGGCTGTTTAGGGACAGTCAGGGTCCGGGGGCACAAGTCTGGCTCCTTTCAAGACTCAGGGTCCAGACTGTTCTTCTGGTTGAGAAGTCACAGGCTGGTAAATCTCTTGCCAGGTTTGTGGCCACCTGCTCTTTGGTGGCCAGTGGGAGGAGGGGTAGAAAGTCCTGTGAGCCCTTCTGCTGCTCCTGACTCTGGAAGGAGCACCCCGCAAGTGTGCAGGAGGCTGCCCCAGGCCTTCCTCTTGGGTTCCCTGTGCAGCATTTGGGAAGCTGCCCAGCCTCTCGGGACCATTCACCACCAACCCTCACAAGGGAAGGACTTTGGCCTGGAATCACAGACACCCGCTCTTTCTCTGCCCACCCCCTCTTTCCAGGAAGTCTGTCATCCAGCTTGACCTCGCCAATACCAAGAAAGCGATGATTGTCCCCGCCTTTGAGACACTGCGCTACCGGCTGTCTTTCCCCAAGTCCAAAGCAGAGTTGCTGTCAATGCTAGACATGGGGACCCTCTTCACATTCAGGTAAGTGGCCCTCACTGCTATCCTCTGGGGTGCCTAAAGGACTTCTCTCCTGGGAAACCCAGACACCAAAGCTGTTAACCCAGAAGTTGGTGGGGGTAATATGCATTGGTCCATTGGAAGGCAAAAATAAAGCCAGTGTCCTTGCAACCCCCCACCCCGGCCAATGCACATAGTTTGCATTGTACATGGACGACAGGTGTGTGTCTAGGTGGACGGGCATGTTTAGATCAGAAGGCTGGTCATGCTTCTTTTCATGTTTTTCTAAACTGATCTCAGACCCCTTCTCCATCTCTTGACCTGAATTCTCCTTGGGGCATTCCCTCTCTGGGTAAACGGTTTCATTCTGTGAGCAGCCTGGGTGTTCCCTTTTTCTTTTTGGTGTGAGTGGTCTGTTTTCTAAGCCCTTTGGGACTGCGATGAGCAGTAGTTACTTCAACTTAAAGTCACCGAGGTGACACCAGAGTTGCACAGACCCCCTTCAGGAGCTGACTTTCCTGCTGCCCAAGTGACAGCTGCAAACAAAACCCTCATTTCCTAGGACCTATGTCCTGCAGGGACCTGGCAGGGAGCTACCCTGCTTCACATCCAGAAGGCCCCAGGAGACTTGACAACTGCACAGGTGCAAATGGGTTCTGGCTCTGGAGCACAGGCCTGGGCAGCATGATGTGTGACAGTGGGGGACAGGGGAGTAGGAGTCCCGCTGTGTCTCTTGATTGAGCAGTCAGAGGAGAGCTGTGCTTCAGCCTGCTTTCTGTTAAAGTGAATCCTCGAAACAATGTAGGAATGGTCAGCACTTCCTTGGAGTTCAAAAGCATACAGCTCTAGGCAGTCTGAATTGTCGTGCAAAGACTGTAGTCATAGCAACTTAGGTTTTCATCTCATACAGCTTCTAGAAGTTTCTAAAGGTTTCCTCCAACTATTTTGTGAAAATAACTCCATCAAGTAGGATGTCCATTCAGCAGTCTAGAAATTACCGGTTTTGTACGTTTTATGGAATGGAGAGGCCCTGGAGGTACCAGGACCGCACCCCATCCTTTGTCCTCCATCCAGAATTCTAGAAAACAACCTAGAAGGGCTAATTCCCCCCAAACCACTGCTTTCCAGAAATTATACCAACTGCCATTTGTTGAGTGCTTTGCATGAACCGGGCTCTGTGATCAGCCCATTTAATCCTCAGAACAAACCCGAGGTAGATACCGGAAAGAAATAGACCCTGAGGTTCTGAGAGGTCAAATAATTTGCCCATTGAAAAGCAGCCAGGAAATGTCAGAGCCAGGATTCAGCCCGGCCTGAGGGACCACTGAACCTGTGCTCTTCACTGACCCAGCACCGGGCTGCTGAGTCCTGACTGCTCACACAAAGCCACGTTTGAAGCTGCAGAGTAAAAACCTACTCCTGGAAATTCGAGACCAAGCCTTCATCTGAGGCCCCTGCAGTTGCCATAACCTGGTGGCTGAACACCTGGCAAGTTTCCAAGATGTTCTTCCTTCCATCTCCAACCCCAGGTGCTTTGAGAAATCATTTCAAAGCCATGTCCGTGGGCGTGAGAGCTGGGGTCTGGCCTGCTGTGTCCGTGATTACTGCTCCCGCTAACAGCTTGCAAGCCACCATGCCAAGTGCTAAATTACAGACCTTCCCTCCGAGAGATTACTTTTGTCACCTGCTCTCCAAGTAATGAACACTTAAGCCTCTGAGCAGCTGAAAGCAACTCCCGGCCACACCTGGACACCCCTCCACGTCCTCTTGGGGTGTGGCTCTCGGAGCAAGGACCCTGGGAAAGTAGCATCTCATCGCCTGGGTCCTTGTTAGAAATGCAGAGTCTCAAGCTCCAGCCAGAAGCCAGAATCAGAAACCCTGGAACTGGAACTGACCTTCCCCGTGTCTCTGACGTGTACCTGAGCTTCAGAACCTCTGCTCAAAGTGTCCCAAATCGCTTTCAACAGTGTCCTGTGAGGTGTAGCCAGGAAACAGCCATCTGAGCCCTGTTCTGGAGGCTACCTGATGTGGCTGGTCTCTGTCCCAGCCATGCCCTGAAGTCCAGTGTCTGTTGGACTGACAGCAGGTTCCTGGGGGCAGTTTTCAAGCTGTGGCTTGCTTTAATGGCAGGTTAATTGTAACGTCCCTGCATCCTGTTCGGCCCAGCCTTTCAGCACGCTGTCAGCATTCCAGACTGAGCAGCTTCTCTCTGCTCAGCCAGACGAAGGGAACTGACCCATCCCTGCCCTTCCCTTCTCTCTTTTGTGTATTGTAATAAGCCCAGAATTTAGATTCGAAAGATGGAGAACAAACAAAACGTTCATCAGTACACTGATAACACAGACAGCGAGACCACTGTGGACTGACATCCTATTCAGGAGGCGAACGAGGAAAAATAATGAGAATGTTCTCAGTTTTCAAGGAATCACCACGCATCAGACACTGCCCTTTGTTCTTTATGTGAATTAATTCACTTAATCAGGGATTATGATTTCCTTGTTTACCAAGACAAGGCAACAAAGGTGCAGGGGAGTTATCCTGTGGACACCTGCTGAATGACAGAATGCACACCCACGACCAGCATTCTAAACCATTTTGTTAAACTGCCTTTAGGGAGCTAGTATATTTTGAATGTCTCTGGCCAGCTCTCTGCCAAGTTCTTCCCATCATCTCAATTCAACAAGATAGGTGTTGTTTACCCCAGCTGACACAAGAAGAAACCAAAGCCTAGTTAAAGTATTTTGTTATGCAAGATCCTCAGCTCCTGAGTGGTAGAGGTGGGATTTGAACCTTGGCCCAAAGACTCGACTGTGCTGTGTTTGGAACCTATAGGCTCCTGGCGGTCACCCATGCTGGGCAGATTCTGTCCAAGGCACTAAGTGTCAAGAGTAGCTGTTCCAAAAAAATGACAAGTAGAAAATCAGCTATTTGTGGGCGTAGCTTTTGGCTGAGGCTCGTGATTGACAGCTGTCACAATATTCTTTTTCACACTCCACTAAAGTAACATTACTCAGCCTTTTTCCAGTTAAGTGACTGGTTTTGGTGGACAACGCTGCAGTGATCGGGCTGGGGGTCAAGGTCCTGCCTTCCCCAGCCTGCCTGTCTCATCCAGCAGCACATCTTATGAAAACCCACCTATTGGTCAGTGCCCATTCAGCCACACTGAGGGTTGGATGACAGTACAGTGTCAGTAAGGGACGAGCAAATGAAGGGAGCAGTCGCGTTCTGTCATTAGAGCACGCCCTGCCACCCTCAGCCTGTACAGAGCCTTCCCTAAGGAGATGACACCCAGCACTTCCTGTTCCTTTCTCCTGCAGCTCCTCTGTCAGGTTCCCACCCTCCATTCTGTCTCCCCTGCAACCGCCAGAGCTATGTGTGGAGTGTTCCTATCCCACTCCACACTCCTGTCTTGTGTACCCCACGAGTTTTAGGTTCCTCACTTGTTCACTCCATTATTCAATTTGAGTGCAACCATTGAGTGCTTGTTCCATTGTCCAGAGAACGCAGGGAATGGTGACGTACAAAGACTGTTTTCCAAAAGTGGGTCAGAGTGCTAGTCTTGAGCTTGAATCCCAGCTCCACCACTGTACAATTTATAACCTGATGTTGGGTAAGTTGTAAGAATTAAAAATCTGTATGGGCCAGGTGCAGCAATACATGCCTGTAATCCCAGTGGCTCAGAGCTATAGAGGAGGATTACAAGTTCAAGGCCAGCCTCAGCAACTTACTGAGGCTCTAAGCACTTATCAAGAACCTGTCTCAATTTTAAAAATGAAAAAAAAAGGGAGGGGTGCTAGGGATGTGTCTCAGTGGTTAAGCACCTCTGGATTCGATTCCTGGTACAAAACAAAAATAAAAACAAACACACACACACACACACACACACATACACACACACACACGCTACGTGCATGTTTTTAAAAATAGTTCTAATACATAGGGTTAATAAATACTAGCTTCTTGCCATTGTTATATGGTGATATTCATTTTCTATGCTGTAGAACAAAGCACCACAAATATAGCAGCTTAAAACAGTACAGATTTGTGGCCTCACTGTCTGTGGAGTCTGTGGTCCAGACCCAGAGAGTTGGCAAAGCCACAGTTCTCCAGCCCACATGCTGCCCTTCCCAGCTCTGGGGCTGCTGGTGCAATTCCTTCCCTTGTGTGCAGGCTGAGGTCCCTGTGCTTCTGCTAGCTGCTGGCCCGTCACCCCTCTCAGCTCCTGGAATCTAGTCCTCTGTCCTGTGGCCCCATAGAACCCTCTGCTCTCAGCAGGGCTCCTCCTTCTACATCAAGACCTGAAGGTTCATGTGATCTCGTCAGACCCACCTCCATAACCTCCTGTTTAATTAATCCAGGGCCACTCAATTAATAACCTTAACTATGTCTACAAAACTCCCTTTTGCTGTATAATATAACATAATCACAGGAGTGGTGTCCTACTCATAGGTTATGCCCCAAGGTTATGCCCCAGAGAGTCACCAGTAGGAATAATTGCAGTTGTCAACGAGATCAACCTGTAGTTGGTTCCACAGAAATGACAGAGCTCCCAGGAGCTCACTAACCTTTTCACAGGGAACATCTCATTATTGAAGGATGTGGACAACCAATGGTATCAGTCTCCTGGGGCTGCTATGACAAAATCCTTAAAACTAGGTGGCTTCACATGACAGAAATTTGTTTTCTCACAATTCTAGAAGCCAAAAGACCAAAGTCAAAGTATCTACAGGTTCATGCTTTTCCCGAAGGCTCTAGGGAAGACCCCTTCCTTGCTTCTCTCTGCTTCCTTCCGGTGGTTGTGGGCAGTCCTTGACACCCCTTCATCTGCAGACAGGTCCCTCAGTCTAATCTCTACCTCCATCTTCCCATAGTAGAGTTCCAGAGTGTGTTGCAGAGTGTGTCTGAGTCCAGATTTTCCTCTTCTTATAAGGACACCAGCCATTGGATTAGGGTGGGCCCTAATCTTGACCTCATCCTGACTTGACTATATCTGCAGAGAACCTGTTTCCAAGTAGGTCACATTTCCCAGCCCTGGGTCAGGATGTGAGCATGGTTCGGCAGGGATGCAGCAGCCCACCTATTAGTATCTCTTCTTCCCTCAAATCAGCCAGCTCTGGAAAGGCCTCTTCCTTCCCTTCACCCAGGGCTTTCCTCTGTGTGCCCAGGTACCACGTCTGGACAAAAGGCCACGCACCCACAAACTTTGCCAAGTGGCGGACCGCCACCACGCCTTACCGGGTTGAGTGGGAGGCTGACTTCGAGCCGTACGTGGTGGTGCGACAGGACTGCCCTGAGTATGACCGGAGGTTTGTGGGCTTCGGCTGGAACAAAGTGGCTCACATCATGGAACTGGATGCACAGGTGAGAACAGCGTCCGCAGGTGCTGGGGCTGGGGACAGAGGCTTGGATCTCACAGCTGAAGGGTGACCTGGGGAGAGAAAACAGGGTCTGAAGAGGGAGCAAGATGTGTTCAGGACCCAGAGTGAGAGCCTGGCAGTGCTGGTCCTCAGGCTGTGGTTCTCAAGCCATTGCTTTCTTCCACCCTTGTACGAGAGTCAGGTTCCTGATACTGCTCAGCACTCAGCCTCTGAGTCGCAGAAGGGACACAGAGAATCCTAAGGGTTCCATGTATTTGGCACTAAGCTCACCACAGGCACGGCTCACCTTTAACTAAAAGAGTGGTGATTTTTAGGCAACATTTAGTCTTTTTAAAAATATTTTTTAAAACTTTTTTAGTGGCAGCCACATCAGTGTATATAGCAGCTCAATTCACAGTAGCTAAACTATGTAACCACCCTAGGTGTCCTTCGATAGATGAATGGATAAAGAAAATGTGGTACATACATTCAATGGAATATTACTCAGTTTTAAAGAAGAATGAAATCATGGCATTCACTGGTAAATGGATGACGCTGGAGAATATCATGCTAAGCAAAATAAGCCCATCCGCAAAAACCAAAGGCTGAATATTTTCTCTAATATATGGATGCTAATTCAGAGTAAGGAGGATGGCACTAATTACTTTAGATTAGGCACTAATTACTTTAGATTTACTAAGGAGGATGGCACTAGTTACTTTAGATTAGGTAGAAAGAAATGAAGGGAGGGGATGTGGGGATAGGAAGGACAGTAGAATGAAACAGACATCATTACTCTATGCATATATGTGACTGCATGACCAATGTGATTCTGCAACACGTCACTCAGAAAAATGAGAAATTATATCCCTTCTATGTATGATATATCAAAGTGCATACATGCCTTCTATTGACATGTATAACTAATTAAAACATTTTAAAATTTTAAAAATATTTAAAAAATGGAAAGCAAAAAAAAATTCTTTAGTTGTAGTTGGACACAATACCTTTAATTAATCAATTAATTTATTTCTGTGTGTGCTGAGGATCAAACCCAGGGTCCCACACATGCCAGGCAAACGGTCTACCACTGAGCCCCAGCCCCAGCCCTAGTTTTGAAACCCTTCATTTATTCAGCTAATGCTCACTGAGCACCTGCTTCAAAAGAAGTCTTTTGCAAATTTTAATAAACAAGAAACAAGGGTTCTGCACAGGACCAGAGAGTAAATATTTCGGGGCTTGGTCCCCTTTGCTACTGCTCAGCTCTGCCACAGGAGTTCAGTTGTAGATGGTCTCTAGACAAAGGGGCGAGGCTGCGTTAGCACAACCTGTAAAGGTGAGAAAGCCAGCAACAACCAGGAGCTCTGGTCGAGTCAGGAGAGGATGCCTGAGTGTCCCAGCCCCCATCTTTGCTCTCTGTGCAGTTCCCCAGGGTAACTATTCCTTAGCAAGACCAGCCCAGATTTGGGAAAAGTACAGATCGGATGCTCCGTGTTGGCCCTCCATGAGCTTCACCCTGGGGACTTCGCAATGGTTCCACTGTGTTTAAGAGCAGTCCCAGGTGACTGAGAACCACTGGGCCTGAGAACCGCTGATGTCAGAAGAAAGTGCTAGAACAGCATCCGTATCGCACGACAGAAAGCTGTTTTCATAGCACCTGATGGGAGCCCAGAGCTGCCCGCGGGCTGCAACGTGGTGTCAGCCTCAACTGGTGCTTGAAAGAATGGTGGTCTAGCGTCCAGCCAGGTCGTGAGGTGAACCGGTTCAAAGAAAGCTCATCTTGCGGTACTTTGTTTCTGCAGCTTAGCAGAATAGTGTTAAACATTCTCCTTCCTTTGCCAGGAACACATCAGACATGATTTTTAAGTCACTTTCCGTGACTTAATGGGGGCACACCTGACAGGTCACAGAGCTGCGCCCAGGGGGCTATCGGTCCTCTCAGGGCGCTCCGTCCCTGTGCCCCAGACACAGCCGGGCTGGGTGAGTTCTCGCGTTTTCTCTTCGCGGTTTCTTCCACCCCTTCCTTGCTCGGCTGTCAGTGTTGCTGCCTCGGTGTTCCACCTGGGATGGGTGCCGTCCCCTGTCCCCAGTTGACCTCTCTGGGTTTATCCTCCTCTGCTCTGAGCTGGGGAAACAGATGACCAGGATCAGGAGTAAGAGGCGGAGGGAGGGCGTGCTGCGTTCCCTGGGAGTTACGTGTCCTAAATTTGTGTCACCAATTTTGGCTCTTTGGAGGCAGGCCTTTTATTTTTGGACTGAGTTTTTATCTGGGTTCTGCCAGGTCGAGGACACTCTGTAACGACAGGGCTCGTAGGAAGGAGGAGTCAGGGACAGCTTTGTCCTTGAAAAGCTTCAGTCCTGTGCCGTGTTTGTTTTTATTTCTTCTTTTTTTTTATGTCCCCTCTTTTGAGCTGAGCTGTGGATGTCAGTCGTTGGGACAAGAGACCGTCCCATTTTGCCTCATCCTAGAGCGACGACGTGGGTGTGCGCTCACGTCTGTCAGGGCCTTTGAGGGTCCTGGGGGCCAGCTCAGCGCTGTCCCTACAGTGGTGCATCCAGGCAGATGTTATTACTTCCACCTTGATGATGAGCAGCCCAAGGCTCAGATCGGCCAAGTACCTGTGGGGGTCAGGCTGTCCCCGTGCCGCCTCCTGTCCCCCAGGTGGTTGATGAACTCGGCGTCACCCTCTGCCCTTCTCTTTCTCTCCAGGAATATGAGTTCATCGTGCTGCCCAACGCCTACATGATCCACATGCCCCACGCCCCCAGCTTCGACATCACCAAGTTCCGTTCCAACAAGCAATACCGCATCTGTCTCAAAACCCTGAAGGAAGAGTTTCAGCAGGACATGTCCCGCCGCTATGGCTTTGCCGCCCTGAAATATCTCACGGCCGAGAACAACAGCTAGCACCGAGAGGCCACCGCTAGGGAGAGACATGCCACAGGGGACGAGCCACTGGCTGTTTGGGGCCCAGCCTTCAAAGTCAAAATTGAGCTTTTTGGGGTTTCATTTTTCTTTGTCCCTTTGGCCCTGCCGAGCTGCTCTCGCTGCAGAGATCTTGACAGGGACGCAGCCAGCTGCAGAGAGTTTGGCATTCCCAGGGCGTAGAATTCTCAGGCCTGGCAACACAAGTCTCCTCAAGTAGGGACCTAGAGGGGAGAGCGAGGAAGGGGTTATCATCTTATCACAAAGCCACAAACCAAGTCAGGGCTTCCAGATATTCTTATGGCTTTTTAATAGTCATGGGTCCCCTCGTAGCTGGAGGTGGGGAGTCAGAGTGCTGGGGATTACTCATCCCGGGAAATAAGAGCACGTCATCTCGTCCTTCAGAGGAGACCTTCCTTACCCTGCAGCGTAGTTCGGCACCCAAGGGGAGGGGTAACCACGGATTGGAGCTAGCCATTGGGAAGAACCCCATGGGGACACCAGATACGGAGGGGCCTGGAGTTGGGCTGGTCGATTCTTTATCCTCAAAGTCACTCTTGTTTTCTTTTGATTTGCTTTAGTTTGGGGGATTAAGTTTATTTTTGGTCCCGGAATCCAAACTAGAAAATCTGGTCCTCTCAGGCTCTAAAGGAAAGTCAACTGCCTCAACCAACGTCCCCTGTCAGCAGTGGCCCAATGAGGAGGACAGGAATCTCCAGCAACTATTCAGACCTGGGTAGCTGGCGCTCCTCACCCGAGGCCCCCCTCTCCAGGACCCAGGGCTGCAACGGGGACTGCAGAGACACAGCTCCTGGCGTGCAGTCACGTTTCTTTGGGCAGCGGCTGGGTCACGAGGAAAGGGCTTTGAAGGAACCGTTTCCGTGCACACAGAAGGGACAACCCTTTCAGGCCTTCAGAAGAACTCGAGGCATTCCCGGGTGCCCGATTCTGAAGACTCGTGTGACCCTGGGGGAGGCCCCCGGGAAAAGGATGGAGCTGGGGTTCCTCTGTTCTTGCCCTCTTCCCTGTGGAGGGGAAGAGGTGGCGACCTGAGTCTCCCCTGGGGACCTGTCCAGGGGGGCAGGCACCTTCACCGTTCCACAGATCGAGGAGACACTGGACTTTTTACCCATTTTCTTTACTCTTCAGTATTAATGTTGTGTTTACACTGATGAGAACACACGAGTGGACGCCCTGCCCTGCGCTGGGCTGTTTGTATGGCCTTGCCATGTGACCAGGGAAAGCAGCACTCAATAAAGGAAAGTACTGACTGTTTCTCCCCCCGCTCCCTCCGCTCCTGTAGGAAGCTGCAGAGACACCCCCACAGGGTGAGCTCGAAAGGCAGCTTGAACTTCAGCCTTTCTTTTCTCTCCTTGCCTGAGGTTAGGTCTCACTTTACCCTCTAACCCTCAAGCCATTTCCAAACTCTCCATTTAGCTTCTGTTCTCACCACAGAAGTCTGGGGTTTTATTGCACCCCATGTGCAAATCGTGGGAATCACTAGAAAAACGAACTTCATGGGTCCCATGGTCCTGCCAGTCACACATCCCTGATTTTGAGACCACTGCCTGTGTTACCTGCTCAGGTGGAGGTGAACCTGAGCCTTCAAGCAGAAATGGGAAAACTTCAGTTAGGACTAATTCTCACACAGTTGTGGATAAATCTACATCTGTGTGTAGATACAGATAGAGAGCGAGAAACAGCATTCACGATTACAGAAGTAATCCATGCGCACTGTGAAGAGTCAGACAGTACCCAAAAGCATTCAAAACACATTCAAGTCCAAGTTCTTTGGTGATGTGCTGGGGCCAGCCCCTGAAGGCCACAAGGATGTCTGTGTGCTTCTCTCTCCACTTCACTTCTTGGTGATCTCCCCCACCAAGCGCTGCTGGAGAAATATTCATAAGCAGCACCCACTGCCTCTTGCCTTCTCCTGTACGTGCACACACACACACACACACACACACACACACACAGACTTCTCTTCCTTCCCTAGAGAGGCCCATGTGAGCAGATATACTTTGAATTAATCATTACCAGCTACTTGAGCCAAGTTGAAAATCAGTTGGTCATGCCAGTTCCTCGGTGTTAAAAATCAATTTTTAATTCCCTAAAGCTTTTTTTTTAAAAATTTGTCCTGGCACTTGAATCATGCTCGGCCACCTTGCTTTCGCTTGCATTTTTATGGGCATAGCTAGTGACCATAAAATTTGTCCTCCAAACTGGGTCACTTCTAAGAACGAAAGAAGGTGCTAATTACTTTGAGATGATGGGTATAAATGGGGAGATGAGGAAGCCTCGTTCACACGGAATGTACTAGAAGCAGAAAATGACACTCCCCACCAACAGGAGAAAATCTCATTTCCTCCAAAGAAAGACAGGTGCCTGATGCTATAAACCAATCCCAGTGACTGGAGTTCAGACGTTGGCTGGTGTGTAGGTTCACGTGGAGGCCGACAGAGGTCTGCGGAGCCAACCACACGAATTCCCAGAACTTGCAGTGGGAGCAGTCACTCTGCCAGCTCCAGCTCATGTGTGGGGGACAGCCACCATTTGGGCAGAGGATGCTATTCCTTGGTATCAGTTCCCTGGGGTAAAACAAACAGGATCACAATCCTGTCTTGGCTTTCTGCTGAGAGGAAGAACAGGGCTCTCTCTTTAACCCTTATCATGGTCACTGTCCAGAATCAACCATTACGTGCACGATCTTGTATCCTTAGCTCATCGGGCCCTGGGAGCAGATGCAAAGTGGATATGATTGTTTATCGAGGAGGAAACTTGAGTGTGCTCTGTGAAACTGACCTCCCCAAACTCACATAGCCACTAGATGACGAGAATCGAAACCCATCCCTACTTGTTCGAAAGCCAAAGCCACATAACCTGCAATGCTCCTCCCTCCCCAGTGAGAAGGACGCAGATAGGAAACAGGCAGACTAGACTGTCTGAACTCTCGGAGGCAGATGGCTGGATTTCTAGGCCTCATCCGGTGCAGTTGACTAATAGTTTCTTTGTGCTGCACTGTGGAAGGACAATCCCAACCTTAACCCTGTTCCTTTCAAAGATCTACTGTCTTTGAGTTGAGGCCTCATTTGTGGTCACCAGGCCCTTAGGGAGCTCTGTGTCAGTGGAAGGAACGTGATTAAAATCCCATCTCAGACACACACAGCCTGTGTGCACTCTTGGTATGCGTAGTAGGATCTCATTTATTCAGCCAAGACTTGTATGGTGGCTACCACTGTGGGATCCCCGTGGCCATGTTATAAGAAAGGTTTGATTTTCCCTCTTATTTGTCTAGTAGAGCTGGCTATCAGAGAAATTATGTGACTTGCCCAAGGCCACACAGATTATTCATGGCGGTGTTGGGATTATAACCCAATTCTGAATGGCTTCAAATCTCATGTCTCTCCACTTCTTTATGCTCCTACCTTCCCATATGATACTGCAATGAACTCAGCTACTGGGCTTAGACAGTCCTACCTTCATGGAGTGTGCGCATTATCCTCTTTAGAAAACAACTACAGGTTATTTTTCAGCTTAATGCCATTAAAATTTGTGAAATGTCATTTATTTACCAATTACCCCACCCCTCATTTCAAACTCCAAGAATCAGAAGTTGGGCCTACTACAGTCTTCATTTTCATTCATTAAACAAAACATTGTTCTGAGAAAGTGGCCTGAAATTTGAAGGAACAGCTGATGACATCTTAGAATAGGCATTGGGGACCCCACAAAAAAGTTTGGGTTTCTGATTTTGAACAGATAATGGATTTGGTAATTGCTTTTTTTCTGGCATATTCAAATAGTCTTGAGAGACAGTGATTTCTGGGATGAAAGAATGTCAGTCAGCTGTGGGACAGTGTCTCTCAAGGTGTAGTACCAAGCCATCTGACCAGCAAGGCTGGGGTGATGTCATGACATGATTGGCAGGGCTCCCTCAGAGCCAACTCTTCACCCGTTTCCTGGATAAGACTCCATCTATCATGATGACAAAGAAAGAAAATAAGGGCTGCAGGGAGATCAGTAATTTCATTTTATTCTTTATCGTTGCTCACTAAATTCTCCAAATTGTTTATTGAGCATCTACTCAGTGACACACACTAAGAATACAAGGATGAACTAGGTAGAGTGTCCTTTTCATGTGTTGCACAACTGACTAGATGGTAGCAAAGCAAACATAACACTAAGGCAGTTTTCGCTTTATTACATCCACATAAATGTTAGTTTAGTTTTATTTTCATTTATCTATTTATATAACTCTTCTGTGCATTTTCAAACTCATACAAGAATTGCAAGAACAATACAGATGGCATTTGTACATCTTCCATTTAGACTGATCAATCGCTAACACTTTACCACATGTATCTCATGGCTCTTTGTGTATAAATTATTTTCCCTGAAACACTTGAGAGTGAATCGTAGATGCTTGACACGTTCAAGTCTACAGGCTTTGGCACATATTTATTAAAGCCGCGGCCTTCTCTTATATACCCACAACAGAACCATTGAATTCGGGGACTTTAACATTGATACAGTACTGTCATCTCATGCTCAGTCGACCAACTTTGCCAACAGTCCTGAGAGTGTCTTGCTGGCAGCAACCTCCACCCAACCCAGCCACACGCTCCAGGGCCCGGATCCCATCCAAGATCACCTATCACCTTTAGTTGTGTCTAGTCTCTGATCAGGAACAATTACTTGTGTCATGTTTCATGCAAAGGTATTTTTGAAGGGGGAAGTCCAGTTGTTTTATTAGTTCATTGTTTTGAATGAAAAAATAGTGTTGCTCACAGTTATGTACACAGGGCAATGCATAAAACTTTCACTGTCTCTAAACTCCTTGAGTTATGTTATGTGACAAAGTACTATGGCGGATGGTGTTAAGCAGTTCCGGAGGTTCGCCTGGATGTGCGAGCATTGCTGAGACAGCCTGATAAGCCGTTGGGACCCTGAGGCAAAGCTCACTGCCCAGGCACCTCTCTAATTCACCTTATCAGCAGACAATGGAAGGGATCCTTTTCTACCCACTTAAAGATTTTATAGTGGCTTTTAAGTTCTGTTCATTAATTGAAATGCTCTTTGTGTTAAAGATGGGGGTTTATTACTTTGTGTGGATATAGATGTGGACCTTCATAGCTTTGTCTTTTTTCCCCATTTCTCAGATCTGCAAGGAAAAAAAGACAAAGCAGCATTGTGAGATTTCCTGACCTCTCCGACTTCACTCACAGGGCCTGGTGTATGAACATCAGGGCTTTGAATCTCCCATCTTTCCCCAGAGATGATTTAATATGTAGGTAGAAGGGAATGACTTGATTTATTTCTCATGACTATTGAGATCAACATTTAATATTTAAGCTGTTAGCAGATCACAAATATCTTTACCTAGGAGAGAAAAATTGCCTCCCTCCCCTCATTCCAACAGCCCTGCTGTAGGAGACCAAAGAGACCTCTTTGCGGTCACTGGCTTGTCAATCTGGCCTCAAGACAAAAAGCTCTGTCTCTGTTTTCGCGGTGGTCCACGAGGGCCATGCCAAGCTAAGCCAGCACTCTGGAATTCCACAATGCCGGGCCTGCCTACATCAGGGATGTGTCCCCCTGCCTGGTGTACCTTGAAGTCCACAAAAGCCGATTCTGAGCCTGAGTGTTTCATCAGCTGTGAGTTATCTGAACATGACCCATGTCTAATCCAGCAGGAAGAAACTGAGGGAGGGTTCGTCTTTAATCCTGTTCTCCAACCACAGATCTGCTCCAGACGCTCTGATACCGCGCAGAGCTGCCTACATCTGGAGAGCACCTGTTACAGGCCGGTGTGCTTGATTTGTAGCTTCTGTCACTCACCGGAATCCCAGGAGTGGAGGGATTATTATTTTAATAGATGTGAAAACAGAGACTGAGTGAACCTGGGTAATCCGTGGAGCCACGAATCAGGCTGTTTTACTTACTCCAACGCCATCGTGTGCAGCTTTGGCGGATAAGGGTGACCCGAGTGTGGAAAATGGAGACAATGATCATAGGAAAAATCAGACGGGAGTCTGTCTGCTGGTCTCCTCCCTCACCCATCCTAGACTAAGCCAGACCATCTGGTCCCTCCCTTGGAGACTCAGCCCTTCCACACCGCTGATCCATGACAACAGGAGCTCTGCTGGTTAACACAGGCAGAGATCAGTGCAGGCCTAGGAGAGGAACAAACGTGAGCTGAAAAATAGGCGTTGTCTGTCTGCTCTGCCATAGAAAGAATGAGGCAGGTATTGTCTCCATG